AAGATGTTAATGAAAAAAACCTGAAGACAGTACAAATAAATAGAAAGACATACCATGCTCATGAACTGGAAGGATATTATTAGAATGTCCACATTACCAAAGCAATCTACAGATTCAATGCAATTTCTATCAAAATAACAATATTTTTCACAGAACTAGAAGGAAAAAAAATCTTAAAATTTCTGTGGAACCACAAAAGATCCCAAATAGCCAAATCAATCTTGAGAAGAACAAAGCTAGAGGTATCACAACCTCAGATTCAAACTACACTACAAAGTAATCAAAACAATGTGGAACTGGCACAAAAACAGACACTTAGATCCTAACAGAACAGAATAGAGAGCCCAGAAATAAACCCACACTTATATGGTCAATTAACCCATGACAAAGGAGGCAAGAATATACAGTGGGGAAAAGACAGTCTCTTCAATAAATGGTGTTGTGAAAACTGGACAGCTACATGCAAAAGAATAAAACTGGACCACTTTCTTACACCATACACAAAAATGAACTCAAAATGGATTAAAGACCTAAATGTAAAATCTGAAACCATAAAACTCCTAAAAGAAAATATAGGCAGTAAACTCATGGATGTCAGTCTTAGTAATATTTTTCTGGATTGGTCTCTTTAGGCAATGGAAACAAAAGCAAAAATAAACTGTTGGATTATATCAAACTAAAAAGCTTTTGCACAGTGAAGGAAACCATGAACACAAAACAACATACTGATTGGGGAAGACACTTGCAAATGCTATATCCAGTAAGGGGTTAATATCCAAAATATATAAAGAACTCCTACAACTCAACACCAAACAAACAAAAAAACAAAAAAAACAAAACACAAAGATCTGATTCAATAATGGGCAGAGGACCTGAACAGACATCTTTCCAAAGGCATACAAATGGCCAACAGACACATGAAAAGATGCTAAACACCACTAATCAGGAAAATCCAAATCAAAACAATGAGATAGCACCTCATACCACACAGAAAGGCTATTATCAAAAGGACGAGAACTAACAAGTGTTGGCAAAGATGGGGAGAAAAGGGGACCCTCATGCACTTTTGGGAATGTAAATTGGTGCAGTCACTATGTGAAGCAGTACGGAGGTTCCTTAAAAAATTAAAAATAGAAATGTCATACAATCAAGTAATTCCACTACTGGGTATTTACTCAAAGAAAAAGAAAACACTAATTTGAAAAGATATATGCACCCCTATGTTTATTGCAGCATTGTTTACAGTAGCCAAGTTATGGAAGCAACCTAAGCATCCACTGATAGATGAATAAAGAAGATGTGGTATATATACACAATGGAATATTAGTGGGCAGTAAAAAAAAATGAAATCTTGCTATTTGCAGCAACATGGATGGACCTAAAGGGTATTATGCTAAGTGAAATAAATCAGACATAGAAAGACAAATACTGTATGATTTCACTTATATGTGGAATCTAAAAAACAAGTGAACAAGCAAATAAAAAACAGAAACAGACTAATAAATACAGAGAACAATCTGGCAACTGCCAGAGATGAGGACATGGGAGTATGGGCAAGGTAGGTAAAAGGGATTAAGAGGTACAAACCTCCAGTTATAAAGAACTTATGGGGATGAAAAGTACAACATAGGTAATATAGTCAATGATGTTATTAATAACTTTGTATGATGACAGATGGTAACTACATTTATTTTGGTGAGCATTTTGTAATGTAAATAATTGTTGAATCATTATGTTGTACACATGAAGCTAATATAATATTGTAGGTCAACTATACTTCCATTAAAAAAAAAAAGTTGGAGGTCTCACATGTCCTGATTTAAAAATACATTACAAAGCTATAGTAATCAAAGCAGTGTGGTACTGACATAAAGACATACATACAGAGCAATGGAATAGAACAGAGAGCCCAGAAATAAACCCTCATGTGTATGGTCAAATTAAGCACAAGCGTGCCAGGACTGTTCAATGAGGAAAAGACAATCACTTTAATAAATGGTGCTCAGAAAACTAGATATCCACATGCAAGAGAATGAAGTTGGACCCTTACTTTATACCATACACAAAAATTAATTAAATGTATTAAATACCTACATATAAGAACTATAAAACTCCGAGGAGAAAACATAGGGAAAAAGCTTCAGGACATTGGGTTTGTCAATGATTTATTGGATATAACACCAAAAGCAAAGGCAAAAGAAACAATAGACCAATGGAACTACATCAAACTTAAAAACTTCTGTGTATCAATGGGGCACCTGGCTTGTTCAGTCAGTAGAACATGTGACTCTTAATTTTGGGGTCATGAGTTTGAGCCCCATGACAGGCATACATAAAAACAAACAAAAAACTTCTGTGCATCAAAAGGCACAATCAACAGTGAAAAGACAACCTATGGAAGGAGAGAAAATATTTGCAAATCATATACTTGATAAGGGATTAATAGCCAAAATATATAAAGAACTCCTTCAACTTAACAACAAAAAACCCAAACAGACCGACTAAAAAATGGGCAAAGGACTTGAATGGACATTAATCCAGGAATGATATATAAACAGTCAACAAACAGATGAAAATACACTCAACATCACTATTAGAGAAATGCAAATAAAAACCACAATGACATTATCACTTTACACCCATTATGATGATTACTATAAAAAACAAATCACAAGCATTGGCAAAGATATGAAGAAATTTGAACCTTTGTGCACTGTTGGTGGTAATGTAAAATGGTGGAGCCTCAATGGAAAACATTATAGATATTCCCCCCAAATTAAAAATAGAACTGCTATACGATCCAGTAATTCCACTTCTGGGTATATACCCAAAAGAGTTGAAAGGAGGAGGATCTCAAAGAGCTATTTACACACCATGTTCACAGCAGAATTATTCACAATAGCTATGAGGTACAAGCAACCCAAATGTCCACTGATGGATGACTGGATAAACAAAATGTGGCATATACATACAAGGAAATATTATTCAGCTTTAAAAAGGAAGAACATCCTGTCACATGCTTCAACAAGAATCAACTTTGAGGACATTATGCTAAGTTAAATAAGCCAGTACAAAAAGACAAGTATCATATGATTCCACTTATGTGAGGTATCTAATCAAATTCATAGAAACAGAAAGTAGAAGGGTGGTTGCTAGGAGCTGGGGGGAAGAGGAAATGGGGATTTTTTTTTAATGAATATAGTTTTAGTTTTGCAAGACGAAAAAGTTCTAGAGCGCTGTTGCAGAGCAATGTGAATATACCTAACACTACTAAACTGCACACTTAAAAATAGTATGGTAAATTTTATGTGTTTTTTTAATCACTTAAAAAAAAAAAAAACAAGTCTTGGCTCAGTGGTAGAGCACTGACTCTGATCCATTAGGCTGTGACTGGTTTTGGCGTCATGACAGGTGAATCCCTAAAAAAAATATTCATAAAAGCGAAAGGAATCGATAGGGTGGTTCCAAAAGGTCCAGCTTGCACATGAGTGTGAGGGTGGAGAGTTTATATGGAGAATAGGAATAATGGTATTCCACCATGAGTTATTATATTAGTTATAAATACTGAGGGGGCTGTTTTGGGGGGAGAAATAGTTTGATCTTTTTCAGTGAAAGTAGAATATATGGCCTGCTATGGATTAAAAAAAAAAAAAAAAAAAAAGACTTAGACCCTTAAATGGTTTTGAGAGATCAGCCCCTCAGACTATACAATAAGGTATACAATAAGTGTCCCTAGGGGATTTTGCTGAGCCCTTGTCAGAGACTAGGCCCAGACTAGAAGGGCCCTTGGAAAGTCTATTTATTCCTGAAAATTTAGATATTATATTCTAATGGTCTTTGAGAGCCCATCCAGTCTGGAGTACATGCCCTCTTCCCATTAGTCTTGGTATTTTGTAGGGTGAGAGATGAGCCATTCATAACAGCTTTTCTCCAAGCAGAGTAGTGCATCTGCTTTTATTTCCAAATCTTCATTTGGCTAATATAGAATAATAATCTCAATTTCTTTGGTTTTTATCATTTTTTCAAAGGCCAAACTTACCCTGCAAAGAATAGTAAACTAAAAAATTACCATCACCATGCTATAATTTATTGAGCACCTACTTACACATCAGACACTATGCTAGGCAACTTGCCCATTTAATGTTTTTGTTATTTTCCCAAACTGCACTAGAATAAAACATTCCTATTTTACTATTCCCATTTTACAGTTGAAGTTAAAGAAATTAAGTTGCTTGCCCAAGGTCCACACAGGAGATAGCTAGGATTCAAGCTGAGATCTGTCATTTACCTAAGCCTATACCCTTTTGAGAATGTTCTATCACCTCCCTAATCACAGAGAGTTACAACTAGAAGGACTGTGTGGTCTAGTCATTTTATTTCAAATGAAAAGAAAGAGGCAAAGTACTCCCTTTTTCATCTATTTTACTTATTTAATAGAGTAGATTGCCCAAAGCAGGTGTCTCTAAATTTTTCTGCTTACTCCCGCTCTTAACATGAAAACAAGAAAAATACTGGTACCTGACCAGAAAATTATTATTAGAGGACAAAGAATTAGTACAGACGGTTATGTGGTGATGTGGTCCTCACAGTGTTGATCACCGTTCTGCCCAGATACAAAATCTAGGAGTCTTCATTGCACGGTTCACTTACTGAACTGACAAACACTTAAATTCCAAAGTTGTTAAATCCAGATTTTAAGACTGGAACCGAAGTATTTAATACAGAATAGAAGAAGAAGTCATGTACTTTGAAAAACTGTGAATATATTTTCATCTTACATTTCTCATAGCAGAGAGCACATTTATATTCATTTTTCCATAATACCTACCTAACGAGAAGAATGCCTATTTCTTCTAAGATACTTAGACTACTCACTAAAATCAGTATCTGAAAAACTTTCACTATTTGTCCATACTGAAAAACAAATGTTCATGCATGTTACCACTCCGTAAGAATGAAGGAGACCTGACTTCTTGCTTCTGTGGTTAATCTACATCATGTTAGAAAGAAGGAATAGGCAGTGGTTCCAGGAAGGTATGATGACTCTGAATTCGGTTCAGGAGCTGCTGGGCCACAGGTTTGAATTCTGTTTCCCACTGGAGTTTGTGATAGTTTTTTAGGCCTTGATCAAAACTGCCATCCAGTGCTAGTTCTTCATCTGCACCAAAAAAATTAAAATTACAGCAATTATTTTGGCATGTAATCCTACTGGTTAAAGTTTAAATTTTGATGGCATAAGTTAAATTCATCCTGGGTCATCTCTAATCTCAGTATAACACAGATATGATTTGGGGGTTACATTTGTTTTTTATAGGAGTAATTCTTGGGGCACCTGCGTGGTCCAGTGCCCAACTCTTGATTTCGGCTCAGATCATGACGTTCCGGTTTGTGAGATCGAGCCCAGAGTTGGGCTCCACACTGGTTGTGGAGCCTGCTGAAGATTCATGCTCTCCCTCTTGCCGTCCCCCACTCGCCCTTTCAAAATAAATAAATAAATTTAAAAATTAAAAAAAAGTATAGAAGTAGTTCTTCACTATAAAAAGGACAATAATCTTCTCAAAAGAAAAAAAAAATCCTGGATTAAGTTGAGCTCTTATTTCAACTAATCCCCAAGTGTTTATATCCACATCCAAAAGTCAGATCACAGTTTCTCAGGAGAAACAAAATATTAATAGATATTCCTTATCTGCACATTAGAAAAGTGAATTACTTCAGTGGTTGACAGATCTAAAAGGAGTCAGGAAATCTTTTCGGAAAGTAACACAGTTGAATTTGACAATTGATTTGAAAATCAATTTTGCTGGCTTTAAAGCAGCCTCAGTGTACTTCTTTGTAAAGGCCCCTATGCTCTCACCAATAACAGTGAAAAGTGGGAGACTTTGAGAATCTGAAGTAGTGAAGTAGTATTAGAATCCCAAGTGAGTCCACGTATAATGTAGAAAAGCACTTGTAAAAAAAAAAAAATTACAACCTTAATTTGCTTCTTATTCCAAGGGCACCCTGAATTCTGTAAACACTGAAAGTCTATCCAACCCAAATAGGAAGATAAACGGCCACTACGTGTTCTGTGCCAATATTTTGCTTGTTTATATTGGGCCTCACACCCTGTATGTGAAGGATTTTAGGAAAATGGATTGGCCTGCCGGTTAGAAGACTGGCTCTTCCACTTCCTAGGTCTGTGGCTGAGGCAGACATGGTAAGTGGTAACCACCAAGCCCTAAAATGACCACAAATATTGCTACTTACGTAACTTGCAAACTTTTTAATAGGGCCAATTAAAATCCCATTATCAAATGCTTCATTACTGTTTACATCAAATTGCCTGCACTGTGTATCTTCATATATCCTTTGTACCTTGGCACTGTTGGTGTTAGTGTGAGTACCCTGAGTAAGATAAAGCAGCCTGCAATCCCAGTTTGGACCTCCCCCACCTCTCCTCCAACCAAGAGGACAGCCGTGCCGCTCAGAGATAAGTTCTGGACAGACACAAACACTTCAGTGAGGCACTCCCTTTGAGGCACTCCCAGCCCCTGTAGGCAAACCTGGACCTCCCCACCCACAAGCTAACCAGGGCCTCGAGGGGAGGAGAATGCCTACGGCCTTCTGGGCCTTCAAAGCCAATATTGAGCTACTTCCAGACATGAGAAGCCTGAGAGATTTCTCGATCCTCTTCCTGCTCACTCTTTTCCAGGTTTTCTGAGCACAAACTCATGTCAGACGGTGAATTCTCTTATTTAATGCCCTTCTTTCCAAAGAGGCTTAGGGCTGCCGGCTGCCCAGGCACTTGGCAGTTCCTTCCTCTGCACAGGTTTTAGTTGGATTTAGTGGATTTAGCAAATCTCTATTTGGGTGTTTTAGGGCTTTTTTCAATCTAGTGTCAAGACTATGTTACTTTTCTTGAGGTCTGGCCTATGATTAGTTAATCCACACTCGAACCCTATTAATTGTAAATTGGTTTAGACAAGGAAACAAAAGTGGCCCAACAGCTACAAGTAAAAGCAAAAAGTAGTCTGAAGTTTGAAAGTAAATACAGCAAATACATAAGAAAGTGCCCTACTACACTAGATATTATATTTTGGAATGTGTAGTCTTTGCAGTAAAGAATAGCAGAGGGGGCGCCTGGGTGGCTCAGTCGGTTGAGCGTCTGACTTTGGCTCAGGTCATGATCTTGCTGTTCTCGAGTTCAAACCCTTCATTGGGCTCTGTGCTGACAGCTCAGCGCCTGGACCCTGCTTTGGATTCTGTGTCTCCCTCTCTCTCTGCCCCTCCCCCACTCATGCTCTCTCTCTCCATCAAAAATAAACATTAAAAAAAATTTTTTTTAAAAAACAATAGCAGAGGCAAATTCAAGAACAATTTATATCTATGATTTTCAAACTCTTGACTGACCTAAAAGATACATACATACATCAGGACTGTACATTATGACTTACATATTTATTTACAATTAACAACCATTTCACAATAGAATACTTAGTCTTACTGCATGTAATATATTCTGATATTTTCTTTCTTTGCTACCACCTCATTTTTTTAAAGATGTTGGACACAGGATGGAAAGCACTGATTTTGATAACCCATCATTCTTAAGCTTTCTGTGTGAACAGCATACTTCTAATACTAGAATTTAAAGGAAAGTTTTAGAAAGGTATAGAAAGGAGTAAAGAACCCAAAACAATAAATTCCTCAGTGATCATTATATCACGATTTCTGTTTTAGTTTAAGTATCCTGCAGCATCAATTAACGCTTCTCTTACTTCACTATCTCCCAGTTTTCTGTTCAGCACCAGGTAGCTCTAAGCAGGTTGGATTATTTTCCTATTATAAGGCCCAGTCCTCACAGTCCATGCTCTTCAGTGTGGACTTGTTAATGTCATCCTTTATTTTCTTCTAATTTTTTTAGAAAAACATTTTTAAGTAATCTCTACTTAAAACATGGGGCTTGAACTCACAACCCTGAGATCAAGAGTCAGATGCTCCACCGACTGAGCCAGCCAGGAGCCCCTTTAATGTGATCCTTTAACTTGAACACCAGGCCTCACTCTACCCCTTGTCTCACAGCCTAGGTGCTAAGTTGAACATATGTTACGATGAACATAAAATAACCTGTGTTCTTTGTGTTAGTAAACTGCACACACTGATCACCAGTTACCAGCTCTCCTGAGAGAAGCTCACGGTAGAACAGTGTGCCAGACTTGTGTACATCACTTAAAATAAACATCAAGATAAACACACTACTGATGAGTTTATAAGAAGTGACTGCAATACATCAGGACGTTTCAGACAATTTTCTTTTTAAGCTACTTTCCAAAAAGAACATCAACATCCCAATGTCCCAACCATGTTAAGGACCCTTACTTTCTCCTTTTTTTGTCTTTCCTCAGTCACCCATAAAAAAAAAAAAAAAAAAAAAAAAAAAAAAAAAAAAGTTGGCTAACTTCTATTACTGTATCAATTGCCTTGTTGTTATTTCTAAAAGCAGTGCACACTTCAATGTGGGCTTTGTGATTTAACAGCTCATTCTGTTTTCAAAATGACCAGCTTTTTAGCTATCTGTGTGAAACAACTGGAATTCCAGTACACTCTCACTCACCTATCCATACTAATTGCTGCGTCCTGGCTGGTCAGACATACTACAGCCCTGTCAGAGGTAAGGGTCTGAGGCTGGCTCCGCACAGGCAAACACCAGGAAAGAGCTCAGTCCTTAGAATTTGTAAGGAGGGCCCAGTGATCACGTGAGAAATCCCTGACACACTGTGGCTCCCTGATCAAATGTGTTTATTTTTGCTCTCCACCCCACAGTTCCCTTCCATGGGTTTGGGTGAGGATTTACAAAGTTAGTCAATCAGAGCACCTGGGTGGCTCAGTCTGTTAAACATCTGACTCTTGATCTTGGCTCAAGTCATGATCTTATGGCTCCTAGGACCGAGCCCCGCCTCCGGCTCTGTACTGACAGAACAGAGCCTGCTCGGAATTCTCTCTCTCCTGCTCTCTCTGCCTCTCCCTTGCTCATGCTCTCTCCTTCTCTCTTACAAAATAAAAAAACTTGAGAGAAAGAAAGAAAGCAAGCCAATCTACAGGCATCTATCAAGGACCTACTTCATATGAGGCAATATCATTTCCCTAAAGTGGTTCAGTTGGAGTGGGGAAACAAGATAAAAGTTAACAAAACAATAACACAGGAGAAGTTACACAGTTCACGATTGCTATTTAAGAAGTACAGATTTCCTATGACTACACTGTGGGCTTGAAAAGCTGTGTGAGAAGGGTCTGCAGGGACAGGCAGCACCTGGATGGGACAGGCACATGCAAAGGCTCAGAGGTTGGGGAAGCACAAGGAGAAGCCTGCCCTGGTTCTAAGGGAAGTCTGAGGGAGGGGCTACTAGAATGAAGTGCCTGCCGGGTACTGCATTCTGCTGAGAAGCTGCCCGTGCCCACACGCGGTTTAACGGGGCCCTTATGTGAGGCACCTGGGTTACTCGGTCAGTTAAGCACCTGATTTCGGCTCAGGTCATGATCTCACGGTTCGTGAGTTAGAGCCCCACATCGGGCTCTGTGCTGACAGCTGGGAGCCTGGAGCCTGCTTCGAAGTCTGTGTCTCCCTGTCTCTCTGCCCCTCCCCCACTTGCACTCTGTCTCTCTCAAAAATGAATAAACTTCAGAACAAATTTTTTTTAATTAAAAAAAAATTCAAAGGGGCCCATATGTAACATGTCCCCACCATTTTGTTATTTATGGTTGACTGCTCTGGACCTATGTGCCAGGGAAGGAAGCCACAGGTAGGCTGTGGTACAGGCAGCTGCTGCCTTAGCCCTGAAAGCCCTACACCCCAAGGGAGTGATTCAGGAAAGCAACCACACCTCTTCCCCAAACAGGAGACACATAGAAAGACGTGCCAACAACGGAGGAGACACATGCTGAGGGCAGCACTAAGAAGCCTCGAGAGAGTTGAAGCATGACCAAGCAGGAGCCTCTAGGGACTTTTTGCATCACAGCAGAGACCGAGCAGAGTTGAGTCTCAAGCAGGGTGGAGCAGATGATGGCCTGCCACTGAAGGGGTCACTCAGGGACTCTGGTTTCATCTGGAACGACCTTCTAGGTCCTGAGTGCCCCTCCAGCAGGCTTTGGGCAATGTGCTTATTTCCTGGCTTCCTTCTTCCCTGTGCACCCTTCCCTGAAACTCCTTCACTGAGCAGGTAGGGGTTCTCAAGCCTGGCTGCATAGCAAACTCACCTGTGGAACTTTGAAAAAAACACAGACAATTGGCCTCACCCTGGAGTTCCTCAATCAGCATGCCTGGGGATGGGGCCAGGACAAGAGTGTGTGTTTTTTAAATTCCACACCCAATTCCAATGTTCTGCCCCACTTGAGAACTGAATTAAGGCAAGTTGAGCACAGACTTCTGCTCCTGGCAACCTGAGAAAGCTCAGTGTTACCAGAGCAGACTGTGAACCTCAGTGATTTAAAATCATGTTCATTTTTTTTTCTTACTCCTACACCCACAAAATTATATTTACCTGAAAAGAGCAAATTTCACATCCATCTAGCAATCCTGATTCTTTCAAGTAACTTCTGGTTCTGAGTTCCTGTTTAATAACATTGTTACAACACTTAGCATTTACAAAGCACTTTCACAGCCCTGTTTTGAGGACTCCTTGTGTGTCAGGTACTCTTATCAGGCTCTCTGTACAATGTCTCCTCCTTTATATTCTAACAACTCCACAAAGTGCCCATCAATGGTCCCTAGCTTAGAGATGAAAAAATATAAATTCAGGGAGGTTAAGCCCAACATTAAAAGTTTATATGTGACAAAAGCAAGGGCTTAAACTCAGAACGGTGTGCTATGGGCCCTGTGGTCTTTCCATTATGCACTCAGATGCTTATTTGATCCTCACTACTCCCCAGAGCAGGGCTAGGGTTATCATGTCCCCATCTCAGAGATGAAAAGACAGGTCCCTGAAATTCTCTGGTCAAATCACACCACAAGAAAACACCAGCATTGGAATCCACAGCTTCTGAGCCACACTGAGAGCTTCCACATGGCCTTGCAGATGCAACACGGTGGCTGGGCAATGGTACAGACATGGTCTCCATTTTGAGAAAAAGGATTATTGAAAACATTCACTTATTTAAGTCATTGTTTTTAGACCTAACCCAGAATGAAAAAAATTCTCCTAAAAAACCTTTTTTTTTTAACATAAGAAACTATCCTTTCCTTTGATTTGTATCAGTGATTTCTTCCCTTTCAATGGTCTGAACCCCACTGCAATGTCAAATAATTTCACAGACCCTCCTCCACATAACATAGTTGCTAATTAAAATGTATAGATCCATTAAAACCATGACTTGAGAGTAACTTTTAGCCATATTTTATCAATTCCAATGTTATATATTTTTAAACACCAATAATTTATGCTCACATCTGGTATTTAGGCAGTTTATAAAAAAATTCAGAAAAGAAAAAAATGAGAAAAGCCACAGAAAAAAACCATGACAGAATCCAATGAGTTGGAGTCCTTGTGTCCCCATTGTAAATAACATTCTGCCTCTTCTCAGATATTTCCAAATTTACACAGCTACTCAAACACATACCAATCTTTACCCATGCTGGTCACAGAAAAGAACATTTCTCCTACTCTGATAAAACTCACAGACTCACAGTCTGGAGTCTTACCTAAAAATGATGGTAGCAGGACTAACAATGTGTTGGTGTCTTCATCTCCAAAACATGATGAAGCGTTGGTGATATTTTCACTGAAGTTCCATAAAGTTTTGCAAACCAAGCAGGCCAGCTGCCAATCGGTAGGACCAAAATGTCTTAAACAATCCACCAACCTAAGTCAATAAAAGTCAAATTAAGAAGTTGTTAGTGGGGAGCCTGAGTGGCTCAGTCACCTAAGTGTCCAACTCTCGGTTTCGGCTCAGGTCATGATCTCACGGTGCATAACTTGGCTTGGGATTCTCTCTCTCTCCCTCTCTCTCTGCCCCTCCCCCACTCAAGCTGTCTCTATCTCTCTCAAAATAAATAAACTTAAAAAGAAAAGTTATTGGTCAGAATCTCTTTAATTTTTGTATTTTTAGCATAATGACGATCATCCTGTATTATTTAATATGTATTATATGTAATTCAGTGGTTTTTTTAACATTTCACATCTATAAATTTAAGTAGCTACAAAGTAGCAATAACCTACTTCTGAACGGTTTTAAGAGTCCAGTGGTCGGGGCGCCTGGGTGGCGCAGTCGGTTAAGCGTCCG